CAGAAGCTCTTGACGGAGGAAACGACATGAGAAGAAATGAATAACGAGGAGGAAACGGTGCACGAAGAAGACGTAGATGAAGTAGACATCGAAATTGCAAAAGAACCAACATTAGAGGAATTGGAGGAAGTAATACAGAGAAGCAAAAATGGAAAAGCCCCTGGTAAACATGGAATTAATATGGAACTAATCAAATCCGGAGGAAGGGAGTTGAAGTGAAAAATACAGGCACTATTGAAAAATATATTAAAATAAGAGAAAATGTCAGCGGACTGGGAGGTAGGGCACACTATAACAATACATAAAAAGGGAGACCAACAAATTTGTGAAAATTATAGAGAAATAACGTTACGAAATACAACATAAAGTATTGACATCAATAATAAAAAGGAAGTTATCAAAGATCACAAAGAAGACAGTGGGACAGTATCAATGTGCATTCACAGAACGAAGAACTACAGTATATGCAATAAACACAATAAAACAAATCATGGAAAAAGCAAACGAATACAAATAAGAATTGGAAATGTTATTCATCGACTTCAAACACGAATTTGATTTAATTCAAAGGAAATATATAATCTATAAATATGAAACTCCCCCAAGTACCAAGAATAAGCAACCTCAATTCGCATCATTTTATAATAGCATCAACATTAGAATATTCCATATATCAGCATCAGTTGTGTAGTTGTGTAAGAACAACCATAGAAAAAATTCTTGTTTTATTCTGTGCATTAGTTACATTGTTTATTTTAATATTGCAGCAATAATATAATAATAAGGTTTTTAAAAAGAATTGTTCTCTGACAGACTTTAAACCGATTTATAAAATATGGGTGTTTTTATATTCCATTGATTTTCTGTTATTGTTTTGAACTTTCAAAGGTCGTGAAGGAGGGTAAAGAGAAGCTAATGCTGTGTAACTTAGTTTCTTTATATTTTTGTAAGTTATAAGTGCAATCTAAAAGTGTAATTTCAAATGTAACAAATATGCATTTTGAAATTATGTATAAGCAATAAAATCGTACAGAAATTTTGGTATATTAATTAACACATTTAAAAACTTCCCTTTGAATTAACCAACTAAAGAATTCACACAATGGCATTAGAATAAGCATAACAAAGACAAAATAAGTAACTATAGAACTACAAAAAAGATGGTAAAATGAAGACTTATGATTAAAACACTACATCTAATTTATTATAAAGCAAACTTAACTAATTATAATAGGTCCTGTTATTGGAGACTCAAGACACCAATCGAATATAATAAATGTCCGCCCCAGGAGAAGAGCAAATGCCGATTTTAATTTTTTTAATCTGATTCTGGATTCATATCACAATCTGGTCAAAAGTACGGTAGGGGCCAGAATATGAAACAATAATAAGAAAGGTTCTAAACATGAATATAAACAAAATACAAGGTGAATCATAACTATTGGGACATAGACTAAGGACAGGTTATTTGGACCAAAATATGGCTATTGGGCCAAATATGCCTTAATAAAATGTTGCTGAGAAAAAAGATACAGGGTGTTAAAGTTAATTTTTGTTTTTCGTTTTTTGCTAATAGTTTCCCTGTATATTTATAAATTGCTATCAAAATTGGCACAGAGGCATAATCTTAGACAAGAAATAGTATTTTATTTACAATTTACGTTTTGTCATAGAGGGCGCCACGTGGATCATTCCTAATGATCAAATTGAGTCTAAACTTTTTCTGATGAAACTTTTTAGTAATTTTTATTAGAAAATATGACGTAAACATCATTTTTACGTAAAATTGGTACTCTTGTTTAAACATGATAATTTCAACCGTTTTCGATAAAAACGCAGTCGAACTGCTTAGAGTCTTAAAAAAGGATTTCAAATATTATTTCATTTATGAAAAGTATGCTTTGGACTGTCAGATAATTGTTGTTGGTAAATGTCATTTGTTCAGAGTAAATTATTTTTGATGTGACAGTGTAGTGTAATGTTGCATTTTTTAAAAGTAATCATTACTTTTTTTGATTGAAATGCCTTGTCACAATCATTTTACTAATGAAGAAATGCGAGATATGATTTGCATATACGCACAAGAAAATTTTTGCGGTCGCTCGGCAGCCAGAAGGTATGGAATGTTATACGCAAACAGAAGGCAACCAAATCACAAAACTTTTGCAAGATTATATCGTAGTTTAGGTGAAACTGGGTCATTTCACACTAAAAATCGGGGTGGTCGACCGAAACAAATCACACCTAATCAAGAAGATGAACTTTTGGTTCGAGTAGATGAAAAATCCTGACATAAGTTATTAGATATATTGTTAGACATATTGTTAGAATTCTAAAAAAAGAGAACCTCCATCCTTATCACTTCACTCCTGTTCAAAATTTACTTCCAACAGATCTTCCACGACGGTTAGTTTTGAAAACGTATTCTGAATAAACATCGCAATGACAGACACTTTATTAAGAATATTATGTTCACCGACGAAGCAACTTTTACCAGACGAGGGGTTTTTAATTGGCGAAATAGTCATTATTGGGAAGAAGAAAACCCGCATGCTATTAAAGCTAGACATTTTCAGCATGAGTTTAAATTGAATATTTGGTGTGGCATTATAGGCGACCAACTACTAGGGCCTTATGTTCTTCCTCCGAATTTAAATGGAGATTCTTATTTATTCTTTTTGAAAAATACTCTTAGTGATATTTTAGATGATCTGTCACTGCATGTAAGAAGAAAAATGTGGTTTATGCAGGATGGAGCGCCACCTCATTTTTCATTAGCTGTTAGAAATCATCTTAATGACGTATTTCCTCAACGATGGATTGGCAGAGGCAGTGATTTTCAATGGCCACCAAGAAGTCCTGAGTACAACCCGCTAGATTTTTATTTTTGGGGACATATGAAGTCCTTAGTTTATGCCAATGAAATTAATACACGAGACGAACTTTGGAGATACATTCAAAATGCAGCTAATCTTATAAAGGGACAGAATAATATTTTTTTTACGTCCGAAAATCCTTTATAAAAAGAATTAGAAAAGGCATAGAAATCGGAGGAGACCATGTAGAACATTTGGTTTGAGTTTTTGTGAGTTCTTTTAAGTTAAAGTGTGTTTAGTTTTGATTTATCGTCAAAACGGAAACCTTACGTTAGTTGCAACTTTGTTTATTAGTTTGGTATTTGATAGTGGAATTGTAAATAAAATACTATTTCTTGTCTAAGATTATGTCTCTGTGCCAATTTTGATAGCAATTTATAAATATACAGGGAAACTATTAGCAAAAAACGAAAAACAAAAATTAACTTTAACACCCTGTATCTTTTTTCTCAGCAACATTTTATTAAGGCATATTTGGCCCAATAGCCATATTTTGGTCCAAATAACCTGTCCTTAGTCTATGTCCCAATAGTTATGACTCACCCTGTATAAACATCAAACTAGAAAACAGAGTAAAAATTGAAGAGTTGGAAGACTACAGAAACATCATAAAAGTGAAGCAGAAGGAGGAACATAAACAACTATAAAGAAAAAAAACAAAATTCATTCAAGGAAGAAGAGAGAAAATATGAACAAAGAACTTTAAGAACTACAAGAACTAAGTAAGCCAAAAGAGACGAGAAAGTTTCACCAGTTTTACGAAAAAAGAATTCAAACCTAGAACAGCGATATGTAGAGATGAATAGGGTAATGTATTGACAGAACAGCAATAACAATTGACAGAATATTTTAAGGAAAGTAGGGGGAAGCGATGCCTTGATATACCATTAGACCAAGTAGACAACAGAGAAAATAGTCCATCAATAATAGCCTAGATTATAACAGGAGTATACAAATTAAAGAAAAATAAATCATGGATATCGGATCAAATCGTATCGGAGGTACTAAACACAGGAGGAAACGCATTACTAAACAAATACATGAACTAATAACAAAGATGAATAAACAGTTATCCGTGACAAGCGTTATTATTGTACTATTACTTAAAAAAGGAGACTAGTTAGAATGTGGAAACTAGAATAACTCTAGTGAACGCAATATATAAACAATGTCCAACGTCATTTATGAAAGGCTTAGATCAAACGCTGAAAAAATAGTTGGCAAATACCGATAGGTTTCTGCAAACAGAAGTCAACAATAGACCAGATATTTATCTACAACCTATCGTCTACAAAACAAGTGAATATAACATCGACACACATCATCATGAAGTCAATACACTAAAAGAGTAAATTACTGTAAGTATTACATGATATTTAAAATATATATTTTTACAATATATTGCGCGCCTTCAGATGTCTTAACGTTACAAATATCTGACAGAACGTGATTTTCAAACTTTGGCAATGAATTTTGAGAAACTTCGGAAGATGATTATGAACCAATCAAAGCTTCTGATAGCAAATACGTCTGTAGTTCAGAAAAAGAAAATTTCAAAGATTGCAGATTATTGGAATTAAGATAAAGAATCAATTCCAAAATAGTGCATTCTTTAAAGGTGGGGAAGAAGAGGGAGAGTTGATCATATGGGAGACTTGATCACTCTTTAAAATGTCAGTAAATAAGCAGTCTAGAATTATAAAACCGGCAATATAGCGTAGCTGTTAGTATGGCCAAAGAATATAATGGCAGTAGATCTCATGTACATGTAATTTAGATTTCGTTAGAATAGAATATACCACGAAGAGCACGTGTTCATTACAATTATTTTGTCCCTATCAAGAAGTGTTTTCAGAATTATTTTAAGTTAATTTTATTTACTATTTGTTTAGGTGAGTGTTTCGTATAATTTTTATTTAACACCATAATCATTTAGGCATTTAATCATTTACGTTTTGCATAGTTTGCAGTGAGTTCTAGTTTGTTGTCATATTTTTATAGACTAAAATATTAAAATGGCCTCTTGGGGGAGACTTGATTCCTTCTTATCTGGGAGATATGATCTCGAGATCAAGTCTCCCAAAAACTGCTTATAAATAGATGAATGTTCTTTATTTTATAGATATGCCACGTCAATACAAAAGGAGGGAAGGAGCCAAGAAAAGAACACTAGTCGACAGCCAGAGGTTAAAAGAAGCTGTTTTAGACGTTATTAATAACGGTACGTTTCTCAAAGGAACTTCAAGTCGTTTTCAAATAAATGTTATGACATTCAAAAGATCCGTGTGTCAAAGGGCGATGGAGCGTGCTATGTTGGGTGTTTCACTACGATACAAGAGCAGTAGAGAGAGTAGCAACAGGGACTGGGACTGCCCAGGAACTGGGCAGGTCACGTGGCTCGAATGACAAATGGACAAGGCAGATACTGGAATGGAGACCAAAAGATTATGCCTATCGAAGCAGAGGTTGTCCACCAGCACGTTGGACTGATGATCTAAAACGTTGTCATAGGAATTGGATGCAAGAGGCATAAGATCGGAATAGATGGAAAATTATGAGGGAAATCTATGCCCAGCAGTGGATAAGCGAAGATTGAATGATGATGATGAATATGACATTAAAAAGATACGTTCGCAGACAACGATCCGAAAATGTTGAAATACCCTTCTCTCCTGATTAAAAGAAGGCTCAAATATTAACAAATGCAGAGGAAAATATGTTTAAAAATTATTTAGATGTTGCCAGTAAATTACACCCTGGCCTTGCAAGAAAACAAGCAAAAGAACTGGTGTATGAGTTTGCCGTAAGAAATGGTAAAAAAATACCTACTTCATGGAATAACCATAAGCAAGCCAGTTACGACTGGTTATACAGATTTCTGAAGAGGATGAAGACCTTATCACTATGCTCTCCGGAAGCAACTAGTCTTTCTAGAGCAACTAGTTTCAACAGAAATAATGTATCAAAATTTTTCGGAAATTTAAAGACAGTTCTTGAAAACCATAGAATTGGACCAGAAGCAATTTGGAGCGTGGACGAAACTGTCCATAATCCAAAGAAGATCAGTGCATGCAAAGGTGGAAAGCACGTTGGTAAAGTTACGTCAGGGAACGTGGAGCAACAGTAACTGTTTGTTGTGCAATCAATGCAATTGGAAACCATATGCCACCTTTTATTGTTTTCCCTCGAAAACCATAAAAAGTGGCATATGGTTTCCCGGCAAAATCGCAGGATTGATAATAGCCCACCAGGGACCACCGGCGTAGTTTATAAAAGTGGATGGAATATACGTCATAACGTATGCCAAAGAACACGGAATAATTCCTCTTACCATACCACCACACACGTTGCATAAGCTCCAGGCGTTCGACAGGAGGGTATTTGGCCCTCTCAAGAGATTCTATACTACTGCCTGTGATGATTGGATGGTGACCCACCCAGGAAGGACAATTGCAATATACGAAGTCGGAGAATGCTTAGCATACGCTTTCCCGTTAGCATTTACTACACGTAATATTGAAAGCGGATTCAAAGTTACCGGTATATGGCCTTTCAATTCCAATATTTTTACCGATGAAGATTTTATGTCGGCATATGTTACTGATCGCGAAGATCCGGAAAATAATTCCACTTTATCTCAGTTTGATGTTGCAACACCAACAATAGATAACAATAACGAACCCTCCACTTCCACTGGGACTTTCACTACCCCTGAAATAATTAGACCCTCTTCCTCAACTGGATCGATTTCACATAATCAACAACTACGATGAACACTAATAGAGGACAAAAACCAGCCTTCTACTTCTACTGGTACTTTTACCACACCTCAAATAATTAGATCACATCCTGTAAATGGAGATACTTCACAAAATGATCAGCTACAACAAACATCAATGGAGCACAATAACCAGCCTTTCATTTCTGCCACTTTTAGTGGCCCAGAAATGATCAGACCTCATCCTAAAGCCGGGTCCAGGACTACAAAAAAGGGTAGAAAGCGAGCAACTACGAAAATTCTCCCAGCTACACCAGAAAACTTGCGCTTGAAGCTGAAGTTAGAGCTAAAGAAGAAAAAAAATTAGAAAAGGAGCAAAAGACCAAAGTAAGAGCACTTAAAAAATGACTAAACAAAAACTTAAGGATTTGAGGGAATCTTTAAGTTCGGGGAGCAGTGACATTATGCTACCATCGTCAGAGTCTGAATATGAACCTAATGATGAAATGCAAGTAGAGACAGATACTGAATGTGAATCAGAAGCAGAAGGTTGCGAATTTGAATAGAGACTGAGTAAAGTTAGTTTTCAGCATCCAATTTTTGGTTTTATTTTAATATTGTAAATCTTGGAAGGTATCTTTCAGTCTAATAGTAGAGCGAGTGAATCACTCAGTTCACTCGCTCTACTATTTTTTAGTTTTTGGATGGCTGTTTTCAATGTATCCATTGTTATGACAGTTGTATTGTTTCTTCATGTACCTATTTCTATAAGTATGTGTATTTCTTCTGTATTCTGATAATCGTTACGATTTCCTTGCAGCAGATCTTTGTAATATTTTCCCATGCTTCACCCTTTATTAATTGTAATCAAAATATTTTGTTACCTTTTATAATGATGTCTATAAATAAATTTCCATTGCGAACGGTCATATTGACTGAAATTTATATTTTTTTATAAAGAATTTTTATACTATACTTATAACTTTTATATTTTATAATTATTATATTTTCGGAATTCAATATTTCCTATGCGTAATTATCCAACTGTAGAGTTATCGTGAAAAAATAAATGGTAACCGCCTCCCAACCGGCATTCTAGAATGATCCTAGACTAGATGGAAAAAAATTGGGACCCCTTTATGCATTACTGGTAGGTGTTTTTGGTAGTTCCCTACAAGCGAATTAGTGAATAATTCAAGGTTTTGTCAGTAGATGTCACTCTTTAGGTTAAATATTTTAAATAACATAACTGGAAATTTTTAGATTCCTAGAGTTTGGATTCCACATTATAAAATTGAATAAGAGATTAAATAGTAGGTAAGCAAACTATTTATACGTCAGGTATTAAACTTGTTGGTTTGATTTATGCAATGGCTTATTTAATACAGATCAGATACTATAAAAACACTTAAATTTTTTACAAACTATAGGTAAGTATTAGATTTTTTGTAGTTTTTATTTAATAATCGTAAGCATTTGCCCCAAGAAACGTAATACATGCAAAGACCACAAACATACACAGACCAAATTAGCAAACTTACAATAATCATAGAACAGTCGCAGGAATTTAACTCTCCACTTTTCATATGCTTTATGGACTTAAAGAGAGCCTTCGACACGCTCACACATATGACCACATGGAAAGCATTACACTACACAATGGCATAAGATCTGACCAAATATGTATGGAGTAAAATAAGGCTGTATGTTATCTCCCCTAATATTTAACATTATACTAGAGTCCCTACAAAACGGGACATACATAATCCAAGTAAGAAGATTGTAAGAAGAATCAAAGAAGGTTGGTTTAGACATAAATATTAACAAACCCAAAGAAATACGATTTGGTACCAGAAATAACCAGCACATTGTGATCAACAACCAGAAAATTGAGAGCGTGGTGGAATTTGTTTACCTAAGCAGCATAATAATTGACTGTAACGGTGTACCTACAGAGTGTGATGACCTACCTACAGGAAATAAATAATACAATATGGTTAACATATGGCAATCCAGGATCCACCCAACTAAAACGAAATTAAAAATCTTTAACATAATGTAAAAGCTAAAAGCTCTATTATTATATGGCGGTAAAACGTAGAAGATATCAGCACTGTAGGTACCTACATCAATTGCATTACAAGTTTTCACGAATATGTTAAAAATCATTCATATATATTTTGGCCTAATTGAATTTCGAATGAAAATTCAATTGACCAAAATGGAAACCAAACTAATAAAAAAAAGACAAAGCAAGTAAGACAAAAAAAATGGGACACACAAAATTAGAAAGCCTAAGAAAACTTGGAAAAGAAAAACACCCAACGAAGGAACAGAAATGGATCTGCTTTCCAATATCTAACAATATTTAAATGTTAACATGATATTACATTACAAATCACATTTAAAAGGTAACCTTCAATCAAAGAATCTAATTATTTGACCTAAATGCATTTCTGCATTTAGTTAAAATAGTAATTATTATATTGTCAATATGTTTACAACTTAAATGGCACTTGACTGTATTCCCATATAAGTAATCCCATTTTTTGATTACATCAAAATAATTTTTAAAACTTTAAAAATAATCTACAGAAATCTGCAAAATATTGACTTTCAATTTATTTTATTCTGCATTCTAAAAACTGCATAGTTCCAATAATGTTTAGTTCCTTCCATTGAGCCCTCTAGTAACGCGTAAACTCTATAGAGAGTGTTTGTAGTATTGGCATTTATTCAATAGATGTCAGGATTATTTTATAACAATTACATTAAGACTGGAGAACAGAAGTTTTAATATCTACTCCTGAATATAATTTAGTTTTGTACTTAAATAACGAATTTTAAACATTTATTATATTAAGCATTATATGATATTTTCCACACTTAAGTACATCGTCCTTACAGTAACCTGTAAAAAGCATCAGAAACAGTAACTAATTTAGACGACAGATGTGAGTGAAATACTATGCACTTTTGTTAAACTAGTTTGAGGTCGCTTTCGTCGACTTCATTTCACAAAAATAAAAAATATCAGCATCTTGGGTAACAAGGTCATCAACATTAGGTTTGATGAGAACGAAAAGTTTTAAACAACTAAATAATCAAGTTGTAGCTAATATGTAATTTTAAGTGTGATTTACAATTCTGGATTAAAACAACAGGGGTAAGTGGCTTTGGAAATGTTATTTCTTTGTAATGTTACAATGGATTCCTTGTATTGATAACGATTTTTTACTTTAAATATTCCTGTAATCGTAAATATGTTCAATAAATGGTCACTTAATGGTTCAGTGGAGAGTCACGTATGATTTTAACGATAATCAACTGTCACATCTCAGTTTGGGCAGTTACAAAAATCTGATATTTTTAATTGTTTACCAATTGTCCCCATAAGAAAGTTGCGCCGAATTCAAAATTTGTTGTACTCAATTCGATGTCAAAATAGGTCTTTCTTGTCAAAATTCCGGTTATATTACAATATTACTTTCAGTTTACTTGATCTTTAGCTTTTTTATATTTTGATTTAGCAACAATGTGATTTATATAGACAGACCCCCCACAAATATGGAATTGTTATGAATGTTGTTCTAATAATAAAAATAGTGAACTATTATCATTATTACCGATTCATTGAGCAAATACTCAAGATATTTTAACTGCATGTTTTCAAATAAACATTTGGTTAAGTAGATCATATAGTATCTATTTTTAGGAATCAACATATTTGATTCTATCCACCTACCATTCCTACTACCAATTTGCTTAGTTACCTATTTTTCTGTATTCTTATTCTGACATAATTGTCATAATCTTATTTTGATATGTGTTTTTTTGAAGTTGAGAGTGTAATTGTATTAATGCCCTTAATAAATCCAGTGTTGTTAGAAATATTTAAAAAATAACTATTACTATTAAATCCTATCAAGCATGCTTTGATTTCTATACAATTTATGCTTTATGGCTGTTTATTAAAAGATATTTCCCCACAAGAGGTATGTGCTACTATGCTAAAAACAAAATAATTGATATGTTCATATTCTGTCAAAATTTGTAAAAATTGTCAATAATCATTGTCAAGCTAAGCAAGTTAGTCTTCTACTTTTTGAGTTGACATTCTTTAGAAACTTATTATTAAATAAAAGTCTTAGAAGAATGAAAAGGTAATTCCATACCATTAATTTAGGTTCACTTCATTTAACAATAATTAAGCAGTGGCAAAAGCTACATCGCATTGTGACATATTCAGAAAAGAGGAAGCATGTTTCATTCATGTATGCCAGTATTTTTATATAACACATGATTTGAGATAAAAATAAAAAATGCCACCACTATCAACCAATATTAGGTACATCAAACTTTCTAGGAGAATGGCCATTTTTTTTGTTTTACCTATATTATATTGAGCCATGAAAAAAAAAAATAATTAGAGTAGGCTTGAAATTGAGTTTTAACAGAAGTCAACAATTTAACCATCCCTCATATTTCATAATAATCACATGATAGTTATTTATTAATTTATTTATTTAGACACCTTACAAACACTATAGACTAATAGTAATTACATCTAAAGAGTTTAAAACAAAAAAAAATAAAATACAATAAATGAAAGAAACGAACATTAACAAAACAATAAGAAAAAAAAATATAATAAACCCCTTAAATCTAGTGCTGATGCAAAGCTTTTTACATTAAATATATCCACATGAGTCAGTCTATTAAATACTTCATTACAAATTTTTAACATATTGTTTATTGGTGATATGTTTCTATAGTAATTTGTAAAGAATAGGTCTACATTAGTTATCGTTAACCTACTCTTGCATACTTTAAAGTAAATACACCCAATTACACCTCAGTTTGTGTACTTAATACTGTTAACAATCAAGTACATGAACATAATGGCCTGACTCTTTCTTCGTGGCAACTGAAATGAGTCTAACATTACCCTGTATGAGACAAGATATGGATATTTCTTATGTTTACTTACATATAGAAATCTTAAAAATCGTTTTTACACTTTTTCTATCATTTCTGAGTTTTAAAATGAAGTAGGAGAGCAGATGATTGAGGCATATTCCATATACCTCTCACCAGGGCATTATAGAGTTTTATAATTGTGCTTATTCTGAAATTTTTGTTATTTCTAAGGACAAAACCCAAAGCATGATAAGCTCTATTAGTTATTTCATAAAAGTGAATATTGAACTTCATGTTGATTTGTAATTTAATTCCAAGATCCTTCATAACACTCACTCTCTCAACTCATCATCATTATTAATATAATAATCTTCAATAATACTATTGAGTTTTCGTGTATATGAAACTACTGCACACTTTTTAACATTAAGAGTCATTTTTTAATTTTTCATCGTTAAACCATTGATTAACTGATCTTAGATCATCTTGCAATTTGACTGCATCTCTCTTATTAGAGATTGTTTTAAAAAGTTTAAAATCATTGTCATACATTAAGCTGTTACAGTCTGGCAAGTCGTTAATAAATAAAATAAAGAGCAATGGTCCTAGTTTGCTCCCCTGTGGGACTCCTGAGGATGACATATTGGTGAGAAAAGGAATTACCTACTTTTACTGTATTCTTTCTATCTGACAAATAAGATTTTAATTAATTTAAAGTTTTTCTTGGGAAACCAAACTGTACCAATTTATTTAAAAGAATACAGTGATTTACCTTATCAATTGCTTTTTCGCAATCAGTATACAGAAATTCCAACTGTTCCCCTGCCTCAATAGCCTTAGCAATATGTTCAGAGAGAACACAGAGATTAGTTACTGTTGATTTGTCTCTTACAAAACCATGCTGGAATTTTCTGATTTTACTCTTAACATGCTCATACATATCATCATAAAGAATACTTTCAAAAATCTTAGCAATTCTATTTAACAGGCTGATAGGCCTGTAGTTTTGAATGTCATTTTTTTTATCTTGTTGTTTTTAAATTGTTGCCACTTTTAAAATATCTGGAAAATATTCCTGTTCAATTGACATATTAAACAAAAACGCTAGAGATTTGGCCAAGAGTTCGGTCATTGCCTTATAGATATAGGGTGGTATTTCATCAGGGTCTGTAGATTTTTTGGGTTTAAGTTTGCTAATACTATTTGCAACATCTAATTCTGTGATATATTTAAAGGTAGAAGAACCCTGCTCAGCATTTTGAGAATAACAATTTGTGCAGTCAGATGTATCATACACTGATGCAAAATATTTAGCAAAGGCACTCACAATATGTGACTTACTTGTTAAATGTGATTTCTATAGGAATTCCACTATTCTTATATTTTGACTTAAAGAAAGTCCAGAATTTGTCAGTAAGTAGATGGTTTTCAAGTGAACGTATAAGTTATGCTCATATTTGGTTTGGTTTTTATTGGTTATATTGTTAGTATCAAGGGTGATTGTAAAAATTAAATTTGAAAATGGTAACCAACACAGAAATAAGTATTGAATATTACTGCCCTATAGATGTGAAAGTAAATTCAGTTACATAATACATGATTAGTTTTCATGAAGAATATTGTGAATTGGTGTTTAATTAAATAGTGTCCTCCATACAAAGTACTCTTACTGGTGGGATACAGGCAATATATTGGCTTAGATGGTAGTCCTTGCAGTAGTAATCCTGATCTGTATAGAAAAATATAAGCAGGTGTGGAATAATACTGCATTTTGAATGCAGTGGTGGCATGTAAGCCAAATATTGCATGATACGATGCTGATAGATAAGGCATTCAGGTATTAAATATCTGAAAATCTTTTCAGAAAGACATTCTCATATGTCACAAAAGTTATACCAAAGTGAGGTAAAATGTTTCTGAAGCAAAGTGAGCCTGCATTTGCGTTACTGTCTACTATTTTAGAGGGATCACCATTCTGCCGTCCTAACATGAAAGGTCCTATCTGCAAAATTTGGTAAAATGACTTTATTGGCTCACGACATGCGTAAACATATTATCTATGTATGTACAAAATGAAATTGTCCTATAAGCGTCTTAACTACCTTATTATATACCTAAATGGTTTGTCCTAACTGACTAAAAAGCCATGTTCACTAACATAAATTGTCCTATCTCACATATACTAAGAAAAATTGTCCGTTTTAACTTTAAAAATGCAGTTAGGATTAGCTAGTTGTATTAGCTAGTATTTTATACTAAGCGGCATCAGTTAGGACAATTTTTGCGTAGTATGATATAAGCATGTTTGTAACATAACTTCAAATAATTAATTAAAAAAGGTATTTTTTATTGTCAGACATTGGGAGTACTCTCATGCTTTTTGGTATTTTAACTAAATATATTGTGAGAAATGGATGTAGGGTAAGTTTAATAATGTTACCTTAAGTATCAGCAATAACTGATCGTAATTATTGTTTATAGTAGTAGCAAAAAATATAGACGCACATGCATCTATATTTTCTGGTTGTAGCAATGCAGCATGTCTCAGCCAGAACAGCGATAAATATAAACGTATGGTATTTAGCGAAAAGTGAGAATGATCCAGATTAAGCACCTGGGCCCTCCAATAAATTCGACAATAAAATAAATGAAGATGATTCGGATTCTAGTTTCGAATCTAACTATTATCATTTATGTTATATATATTAGGATGTAAATTGTGTAATAAGTTTTAAAACATCTTCTTTTTATATAGATATGACTCTGTCTGTTTTTCAATGTACCTCCAGTAAGTTGCCGTTTCATCATTTTCGTGGTCTTCCTACTGATCTCATCGTTTTCGTTGTCTTCCTACTGATCATCTTCTTATTGGGGAACCGTCTCTTGCCGTCTCTACTACTATTGTTGTCATTAGGCTTGTATGATCGTTCCATTCTACTCTTCTATTTCTTACACAGTTTTTGATATTCTTACTTTGCCTGATGTACCTCACCTTGCATATAAATCGTATCTCTGTACTCTGTATCTCATCGTAGCTCTATCCCATAGTGTTTTGCCATCAATGTTTTGCCTTCCACTTCAGTTTTGAGCTTTCTGTAGCTAGATAATGTGATGCTTATATATTTAAACTCCATCACTTCTTCTATTATCTGACCTTCCAGCTCCAATTTACATCTTTGTAAATTTGCTGTCGTAAGCATGCATTTTGTCTTTTTTGGGAGAAATTAACATTTTTCTGGCGATTAT